GCGTCCAGCGAGCCCTGCCATGGTCCGTCTACGAGGTGGCTGCATTGGGGAAGCGTCCAGCGAGTCCTGCCATGGTCCGTCTACGAAGTGGCTGCGTCCACTGAGCCCTGCTATGGTCCGTGTACGAGGTGGCTGCGTCCACCGAGCCCTGCTATGGTTCGTGTACGAGGTGGCTGCATTGGGGTAGCGTCCAGCGAGCCCTGCCATGGTCCGTCTAGGAGGTGGATGCACTAGGGAAGCGTCCATCGAGCCCTGCCATGGTCCGTGTACGAAGTGGCGTCTGGCCCGATGATTGTCCACTGTCACAAGGTTAAAATGGAGAAAGCGATATCAGCATATGGGATTTCAAGAGCCCTTGCCTAGTTGTGATACCATTGGGACTTAGGCCCTTTTAGGTAAGTTTTGGGCCAGGGTAAGGGGTGATAAATGCACTAAATTGTTATTCATACTATAGATATTATAAATTTTGTGCAAGGCCTTAGACAAAATTGCTTTAAATTACTGTTCGGAAACCGTTTTCTAGTAACTAAATGTAGATATTTGTTTTATATTTACTCAAGGAAATTGACATTTTAGAATCCAAAAACTTTCAATTTGTCACAAACTTGAAAAAAGAATTCATGCAAAATATTGACAAGCTATCGACCAACTTTCAGGTCTTCATCAGTCCTCGGTCTCCAAGTGACGTTGTGTAACTGGTCTAGAGTGCTAGAAACTAACACCCCACCACCCCAAGTGCTGTGGTTGTGGTACTAAGAGGCCATCGTACAGGTAAGCATCTGTTTTCAGCTGTTTATATGGTCGAGTTCGTTAGGCGTTTTCGTGATCCATATGCCTTCCTATATTTTTCTTATGCTCTAGTCGCTTTCTTTTTGTAGAATATTGGCACTCTCCTTTACCATGTGGTTTTCTTAAGTTAATATAGAATATATAGAAAATAGATATAGATATAGAAAAAAATAAAGTAGAAAAAACAAATTAGAAAAAATAACCAAAGCCTTATGAAACGCCAAAATACTTATTAGTTTTAACATTAGTTTTAACAGTGTGTAAATACCAGTGTCATATCCTTTGTTGCAATTACTGCAAGCTTTCCATTGCTTTTCATACTTGAGTGAACATGTTGCATTTCATTTGTAGGCTACGAAAGGGCAGTTTTCCAACATTAATGCCCGAAAGCAGATACCAACAATCCTAGCCCAAATTTCTAAGATGTGAAACACAAAATGGAGCTAGCAACGAGCCACGTAGCCACTTTCATTCATGATCGGACGTCCTAGCTGTCTTGGTTTTTAAGGACACAACTTATCTGCCAAAAAATTAAGTGAATGTGGAACGGTAATGATACGAAGAGCAATATATTTAAGAGGAATACAATCTAATGTCTTTTGGATATTGAGATTTTTTGCGGTTCATGGGTCACGGATATGAGTCGGGTGTAATTGCATCTATCAAGTTATTTCAATAGCTTGAGAGAACTGATGTTTGGAATGATCATTAATAATTCCATAAATGGTCAATTGAATAAGATATATTGTGGTTCTGCCTCTACAGTTATTATAATAATCATAAAATGATATCCAGATGCTTTTATCCACATTCTAAATGCAGATAGGTTTTAGCTCACAAAAACATTGGTATTGCCAACACTAATGGTCGTCTGTGCTTTATTTCAATCTTAGTGATGTAGTCATTTTTCAAATTTGTGCTTTTGATGATGTGGAATTGTTCGTCAGTATAGCGTTTGAGAAGATCATAACCCGCACACTAACAACCCTCACAACTTTGTAAAATCTGACTTGATGTAAATGTTTTTACATGAAGAGGTTTTACATTGATAGCTGGTGCAAAATCTTTAATGAAATATTTTACGTTTGAGAAAATACTTCATTATATTTTTTGCACGCAGTCTGCTCCTTGTGAGAGATGGCTGGGTGCACACAGGCATCTCTCAAGATGGAGCATCCCACATTACTAACATTACTAATCTTATGATTTTCTCAAGTGTTATAGTTGACAAACATGTCCAGTTCATCACAAATGCACCTTTTCTCCGGATCAAAAAATTCATATTGAAATTTACATGGACGGTCATGCAGTGTAATGTGAGATCTCGAATATTTCGAAGCAAGCTTGCTTTATTCTTTACTTGTATCATAAAGGAAGTTTCTATTTCAGGGCAAAATGACATTTATGAAACTTCTGTTGTAAACCTAGTTATATGTCAAAGTTTAGTTTAAATCGTTGAGGTGCCGGAGTTATAATCATATTCCCCGAATCTTTGTGTGTATTTTATACTTAGAAAGAACTATAATCGAGTCTTGATGGGTGTTTTCACTTGTAAAGGATTGAGTCACTTTTATGACTTCATCCCCTTGGGTACAGTTAAAGTTGGTCTCGGTTTAATTATGTTAAGACTGTAGTACATGTAAATGTCTCAATTGTACCTTGATACCTCTTTTTGTAAGAATTACTTTGGCAAATTAATTCTTGTGCTTCATCACGTGTACCAGTATAGCGTACTTAGAGAATAGATTGTAATCATGACAGAAAGACTGTTTATTCAGCCGCACCATGCTGTCTGAAACTGAATGTTTTTGAGCTGTAAAGAAACTGACATAGGCCCTATTGTAAAGACTGAAATATCCGGGCGTGGGCATTTTCCCGGCATTCCCCACGAAGGGTTTAGACGGGTTTTTCCCCACGGCCCGCAAGCATTGGGTACCAGGTTCCGACCACAAGACCAGCATTATCAGACTTTTTGCGTTGTGGTGTTAGATGATAAAGACATGAATGGAAAATAAAACTACCATTTATTGATTCATTGCGTTGACATAATTCATGACATTGAATGTTTCTGTTAAAATTGTACATTATAGTTGAATAAAAACCATAATCTATATTTTCTTTTTGTTAAAAAAACGGAAGGCGTGTACAGGTGGCAAAATAATTGAATCGACTATTTAGCTTGGTCCACCCACTCCACTTGAACAACTAGATACAGTTCACGCATTCTGCATCCCCTTTCATCTAAATATTTGCACCACTTTATTGCGAATGAATTCACCCCGATTTCGGTAACGCTCACCATCAAACGCGACATTCAAGCTGCTTCATTTTCTGTCTCGGGATCCTGCTTGTAACGCGACTCCTGACGTGCGCGCTTATTCCTTTTTCACCCTGTGTGAATATTGTCTTTTCCATCCAATCATAAAAGGTGTATCAAAACACGTTTCCTTGATAAACACATTTTACCCACTATGCCTGATCTAGAATATCTTTCATAATTCTATTTGAATTAAAACAATTGCAACAAGATTGTTGCAATTATGACAGCCAATTTATTTGATTGAATGCCTATCCCTTGCAAAAAAGTACATCTTTAATAAATAAATAAATAAAATAAATGAATAAAATAAAATAAATATTGAAAATAATGACAAAAATGTTTTGATGGACTTACAATGTATCAATAAAAGAGTGCTTGGCCAGATACTGGTTCGACTTGAACTTCTGTTTTTCCCAGAGATGGAAATCAACAGAAACATGTGATCGTTAACTAATGAGCCTGTCCCTACCAGGCAGTCATAACCCGATCATGCTAATTTCTGTCATTGCAACTCGTGACAATTTGTTATGATAAAATGTCATTATTCAGAATCAAACTTTACTGAGGTTAAAGTGTCTTTCAATATTGTTATGTAAAAACAATTATCCACAGTGTTGGCTTTCACAGCATGATGTTAACCTTGCACGTATGCGGACACCCTAAATATCTGAACTTCAGACAAAAATAATGAGTTCAGTTACGTCTATCAAAAGTTATGAAAGCATCGTTCCAAATATAGCGTGCGTTTCTGTAAACAGATTTGGAATAACAATGATGAACTAGCTTGCAAAAAATGTATACATAAACGTTTTTGTTCTCCATTCTGTAATCTGCTTGTAACATGTATCTGGCTTATACTGCCTTTTATAAGGTGTCAATAGTGCTGGTGCTTTAAGTTTAATAATTCAATAATGCTGTAACTTCATTACTAAACTTGTTAACAGATGCCGTTCAATTCAACTGACGTTGTATACCCATCTCATGTTCACGAGTGTCTTTCTAAAATTCTAGTTTGTTTTTCTCCACATTCCCTGTTGCCTGAGCCACCATCATCAATGCATCTGCCTTTGACAAACTATTAACGACAAATTAAATAATTCTTATTATTATACATTCTACGTGGTCCATTGGCAAGCATAGATTCCAGAATAACCGCCGATAACCGCTGTTTTGGTGATAAAAAATAGAATTTATTATATTTCTATGAGTCGTTTACGATATATTTATTGTGAAATATGGATCTCACACGAAAAGTTGTCATCCCTGTAACAAAAAAATGAAGCAACTTGGCTAACGAACCTCTAACTACCATTTCGCAGAGGAGGAGGGTCAGCATGAGGGGGGGGGGAGGTAACTATATATAACTATATATAAACTGATAAAGTCTGTAAGCAGAGGAAATATTGGCCGGCAAAGTATCCGATTATTTTTCAAACAATTGACGAAGTAGCTTTTCCATTTCTGTTTTAAAGCATGTGTGTTATACTAATATGAAGTATCGGTACGGCACATTTTCTTTTATGTTAAATTACCCATTATTGTAAATGCTATATGTAAAAAGGTGTATTATAGGTAATTGTTAATAGCGTTATTTTGTAGGAGGTTTCTTATCAGGTATTAGAGTACGTGTTATTTATTTATTTATTTATTTATTTATTTATTTATTTATTTGTTTATTTATGTGCTTATACTGTGCTTTTACTGTGTAACGTCATGTCCCCATATTGTAAAAGTTCAGTGTTTATTGATGTTAAATGATGAAAAAATATTTTCCTGCACAGCTGCAGAATATAAGACCTTTAGCTCCTGAAACTTAGAAATTAGGTTACTCGATAAGGTCGCGTCACCCCGGAACTTGAGGCTTCATTATATCACTGGCACATGAATAAGTCAACCGCACGAATGTACAGCATATGTTGTTTTTGTGTGCAGAGTTTGGAGAAGTGATAACTAAGAAGTCGGTATGTTGACTTCACCGTTTTTTAAAAGTGATTTGCTATTTGTGTTTTTAAAAGTATTTCCAGCAGTAAGAGTATATATTCTTTTGCCAAATGTAGTACTGAGAAGCCTCATAGAATTAACATGCATGAAGGACGCTTACAGATGTTAAGAAATTTTGCTTCCTCATATCGTCACGTATTCTTGGCAAATCTAAACAGAGGGCGATGACATATTTCAGTTTCTTTTTGTCCTGTGTTGAGGAAAAACCTTACCATATTGTATGACAGAAAAACCTTTGTGTCAGGGAAAGAGTTAATTTTTTCGATCCTCGTTGTCTGTTTCTCAGTCAATAGAATTTCCAGAAGTTCCAGTCAACAGAATACCAAGCTGAGCAATTCCCCACGATCATAACTTGTTATCAAGAAGCCTGTTTATATGTTATAGTTCTGATGTTAGGAAATCCATCACCTAATTTTGAACCTTGTACTACTAATGGTTTGTTTTCAGCAGTTTTGAAGGGGTAAAAAGCCATCCTGTGTGTGGCTGGAACTGGTGATCGGGATGGACCGGATGTCGTTAATATTGGTTCTGTGTCTGTGTGGGATTTTCTCCTCTCGCTCAGTGTTCGGGGGTAAGTTCACAATAAATAATATTAAAGGGATAATAACTCTTCGTTTTGGCCAAAAAATGAATTTTCCTGGAGTAAGCAACAATTTTCCCATACTTACCAATGGTTAATGAATCCATTTTTATATTCAAAGTTAGTCCCTGTTTTTTTTTCTAAAAAGTTTGGTATTTTGTTAAAGTCTCTTAAGAGATTATAACAGAGTATAGCCATCAATGGAGGTCACGTGGTCTGAAGACAAGCTCAGATATCAGAATAATATCTATAACTGCTGTTTTTGTCATAAAACAGAATACATTATATTTCTATGAGTTATTCACAATGTTTTATTGTGAAATATAGACCTCATACGAAGAGTTATTATCCCTTTAAGTGTTAAAACTCTGCTTTTATATTGTTGCACCTCAATATAGATTACAATAAGGGTTTTTTCCCACAGCTACATTAGTATTACATTCTACCATCTTTTTGGTTACATGATTAAGTAATTTGAAAACAAAACTTACATGTATTTACATGCATAGTTTTACTCGTAGATCTCGCTTTGCGGACTATCGAACTCGACAAATCGAGTCTCGTCCGCTACACGACAAAACGAACGACTCACACTATTTCTTGCTTACAGAAATTATTTTGACATATCAATTCAAACAAGAGTTGCTTACATAAATATTTCAAACTCATCTTCCGTTATTGCCTTGTCTCGTGTTCGGAGAAAGAAAAGAGAAAGAGACGGGGAGAGAAAGTCCAATCACCCCACTTGTGTTCAACACGGGATTGCACTTTGTACTCTCTTAAACAGTTTGACATTTTTATATCGACCAGGAATTATTCACTACAATGCTGTCTAAATAAATACGTGGCATCAGAATATGAAAGCATTATTTTTCAGTCATAATGAAGAATTCGGCGCAAAATACATTAGCAATGCCATGTAGGAATAAAAGGATTACGAATACAGTAAAACTTTGATAGCATTAATTAACAAGAGTCCCAAGTATTTGGCGCCATCTGTTGACAATGCAATACATGTATAGCGGATTCGGTTCTTGTCCCTTTCAAAAATTGGAAAAAAATTCTGAAAGTCTCCCATAGATTCAACCATTTTTTTTCAAACCTGTGTTCCGTCATATAATTACATGTACCCTAACTCCGCCGGTGTCCATGTGCTTGTAAATGGGTATTGCAAACCCGCCATACGTTCTGACATATCTTAATAACAGAGGATTAAAGGGAAACGTTACTTGCTGGGATCCAAATGACTGCAATGATAGTTTCTAGTCATTGCAACCCTTATCCGTGTATTTTGATCACTTCTATTGGGGTTTTCAACTGCGTTCTGATGTCACTGGTGTTTGGTAAGCCAAGGCGAAGTATACAGTTTTCATCGAACGGAGCGTGTTTACGATCATTTTCACTCTATGCCCAGTGTTATCATTACTTTGAACACAATAGTTTTCACGAAATTCCGTTATCCCAACTGAAGTCATCTGTCATCTTTAAACTTAATAATCTGGGGGGGGTTCTATTAAGGCATAGAAAATAGTTTTATACATAGTAATACATCACAAAACTGGTCGCTTTTATTTGGCAAAAAGAAAAAAACTTTCATGTGCCGTTAAGGTTTATAGATATACCAACTGCTATATTTCAGAGTGTCTTAAACCAGGTCTGCCTAACACAGTTTTTGATCCTTCACTTAGCAGTTACTATGACGACGAGACTGTAAACGTCCTATGTGTGGCGCATCTTGTCCTCCTGACCGGAGAAACACGTTTGACGTGCAGGGAGGGGCGTTGGACTGGAGAATACCCAGTTTGTGGTCGTAAGTCTGTACCCCAAAACTATCTTTAGTGTTGTGTATATATTTAAAGGTAATCTGAACGCATTTAAAAATGCCCCACATTCACATTTTTATCCGGCAGAAAAAAAATTACATTTCCCAATTCAGACCTTAATTTGGCTTAAAGACGATGAAATCTTATATTAAAGTACCGAGTGATGTTATAATCTTCTTTGCCTTTCCATGTAGCCATAACTCCTCGCAACGTCTTTATTTTACACAACATAGGTCCACGATATAAAGCAAGGCACTATTTTCTTGTGTCTTGAAGTAAAAGCGAAGCCAAAGTAAGGGAATGCAGATATCGTCCTAAAAAAACTTTTAAAACTCCTATCATTTAGAACAAAATCATTTAATTTTTTTTTAATATCAAATCCAGTAGGAGAAAATATCAAATCCAATAAAATTCTTTTTGGCTGGTAAATCCTATGCAGGTAAATCCTTATGTGTTCAATAGCGAAAGTTTTCGGATTTTCTTCCAGTGCCAAAATACGTTCAGAAAGTTTACATAGATTACTACAAATTTGGTGGCACACCTCAGTATTCGATATCAACAGTGGAGCAATGTCTAGAAACGTGTGCTAATACCGAGTCCTGTGTAGCGATAGACTGGAAAAATGGCTGGTGTTACCATATTTCTGATACTTCGTGTAGATTGTACAAGCGAAATGGCGCTTTTCACTACAGACTGGCGAGAGCAGTGGAAAGTTGTATAGGTACGTTACATTTACCTTTGAATAAAGCACGTTGGATTGTCACTCTTTATTTTATTGAGTCTATGGGAACCTGTGGGCATTTAACGACATTGGTTTTGAATACTTTAACCGGTTATTTTATTTATTTATTTATTTATTTATTTATTTATTTATTTATTTATTTATTTATTTATTTTATGGTAGACATGTATGGTATTCTAAGATCGTTTTATGTGTTTATTTGCGACAATAGTTTCTAACCAATAAAAGTGACAGCCGAGCGCGGAATAAAGAAACAGGAGTAAAACAAGTAACAATCGAATGTCCATACACCGTATTTATGTAGTTCTAACTGATTTGGGCCGTAGGATGTTAAACATTCTTGGTTGGAGAATGAAGGGGGGTTGAAGGCTTACAATACAAACAGTTTATTTGTAGATCTGTCATTTATGTACTTATCTAGATACTGACTGAGGGAAAAGTAATGGACAGGAAACTGTTTCGGTCAATGTTGCTTCTGTGAGGGTTTCAAACAACATATTGACCATGAAACATACAGCCCAAAACCAGTTACTGTATAATGTTTCATGGGTAGGAGCATGCATTGGTTTGACTTAAGAAATCTGTAAGCCAACTGTAAAAACTGTGTTGAAGTGTTTTGTATTTTTATCTCCTAACTAGACTTTTCCTGCTCTTCGTGCTCTGGCTCTGGTGGATGTATACAAAGTCTTAAGTATAACAATGAGAGAGGAGTACACTACAATGAGACAACCTGCGGCTGCCACCTCGGGCACACCGGGGAAACCTGTTCCCAGAGTGAGTTTTAACAATTTTATTTAGATTTATTTAATTTATTTACTAATTTAGATGAAGGTCTATCACGGGAGTAACAATTTAGTCTAAACCGTAAATTATGCCCAGTAATTGATTTAAAAAGCGTGATTTATGCAAATTGCGACTGGATGACCAATAGTTCGTTGATTTATGTTTTCTTTGGATTCTTAATTGTATGATATTTGGTCTGTTATATAGAGGTTTATTTAGCAAGAAATAGTGGATGTTGCAACCGGTTGCAAAATGCGGTCAGTTTCAGGGTTCTATCAGTGGAATTGCATTTTACAAAGAAGACAAAAGAAAACCATGAATACGCACATGCACATAAAAATCTCTCGTGGCCTATAGCCTTCTTTTAAAATGTAAATCAATTTGTGGTAGCAACTTTTTTCTATTCGCCATCAATTTTATAAGATCAATTTTCCTGCGTGACGATTGCTCTATCACACAGGAAATTTACACATGGAACTATATTCGTTTCAGGATCATGCCAAGCTCCTGCTGCGCTCCAGCACCAAACACGTTCAGAATTACCAGGCATCGTTCAAGTTGGCAATACGGTTACATATGATTGTGACCACGGCTTCAGATTCCCGGATTACACAGTCCAAATGGCACTTACTTGTCAAGAGGATGGAATGTTTGACAAAAACTTGACCAAATGTTCCAGGATCCAGTGTGAACGGCCCGATGTCCGTTACGGGGTCGTGCCGTTTCTCGACGAAATGCATAGGAACTGGCCAAAGCCCTTCGAGTATGAAGTTCAATTCGGTTGTCGGGAAGGTTACCAATTTGATGGACTACCACGCGAAGAACGTGTGGTGCAGCGATGTTCGATGAATGGAACGTTCGACTTGCCGGAGTGCGTACCTTCCGAGTGCCACATCCTTAGTTTTGGAAACAATACAATTACCTCTAACCCAAAACGTGCATTACACTACCAGCAAACCTTACAAGTCAGTTGTATAGAAGGACACAGGTATACCGACGGGAATATAACAATCAATATTACCTGTTTGGCCAATGGTAGCCTAAGCTATGGCGCTTTGGAAGATTGCCGGCCAGTAGAGTGCCTGGAGCCAAATGTGGGAAATGCTGCGATTAATTCCACGGCGTCAGCAACTGGTGTGTATCGTTACCGTGATGTCATCACTATTTCTTGTGATCCTGGGTATATGTTGTCAAATATGGCGGCGTCTGTCAATCTTACATGCAGTGAAAATGGTGCCTTTGAATTCCAGTCCGTGCATTGCGAAAGTAAGTCATCTCTCTCTCTCTCTCTCTCTCTCTCTCTCTCTCTCCAAGGAATACAAAATCCGCTCAGTTGATTACACTTACAGAAAAAAGTATACAAGTTCAAAGTGATGACAGAAAATAAAAGATTGCTTTTCTTACACTGCACCAAAGGAAAATACACTGCAGTCTTTATTTTTTTTCAGAATCCCATGGTGTTTCTTTAAACCCGATTATAGACATTCGTACCTATCTTATAGCAGGAGGTATTGTGGCAGGGATAGTGATTTTTTGTCTTCTTATAATCGCAATTTTGTTTACAGGAAGGTAGGTTCTTTGACTTAAATAAAGTCATTGTTTGCTCCTAACATTTCAAATTCTATGCATTGTATAAGCAACTAAAACTTTCATTATTTTTTTCACCAATTTTCATTTAGAAAATCGTATTTGCCAAAAGAGTTGGAAGAGCATTGAGGAAGTTATGATTAAATAAAGTATAAGATGCTTGATACGTGACGTTCACGGTTGTGTACAGTAATATAAGTCCTTTGTTGTCATAAAAAGACCGTATTAAAATTAATTATTATAAATTATATATTGACACCTTAGGAGAACTTCCCGCAATTCCAAACGGCACAGTGCTGAGTTACCAGACGTAATCTATCAGAACAGCAACCTTGGCAATACAACAGGTACCAGCCAAACCAACATTTTGCTTCCGCGAGATACACCGTCGAATACCTATTCTGCGGATATGACCGGCAGTAGTCAAACTCAACCAAGTAGTCTGGCTGGCTCGGCTGTGTATGCTGTACCGGACAAAGGAAAGAAAGCGACTGTTCAACTGAACCATGCCGAGATTGAAACAGAAACTGGTTTTCAACATGAATGTGACTCATGGCCCGACCATAGCGACATCTATAGGGAGTCAGTGTCTCCGCGGCAGTCGACAAATAGAGATGACGCAATCGAGATGATGGAGAACGACATTTATGAGAGCAATGAATGATCTAGCACAACGCCCATGATTTTAAAAGCTATATATGGTTGTTGAAATGGAAAATGGTATTTGTATAATAATAGGATACTAATTTAGCATGATACATGTACCCCGTATAATATTATGTTATGTTACTATGTGGAAAGACGATTATTTAGGCCTATACAGGGGCTGATCCAGGGTTACTTGAAGGGGGGCTCCGGGTTTTTATTACGAATGACAGGCCTCAGATGCGAAGCCAACCCTCCCACCAACCCCCCTCCCTTTGGCGCGGGCCCGCTGAATGGCCCCTAAAATTTTGGTATTTTAGAGGGCGAACAGTGACATGATTTGGTACAGTTTAAAACTATGATTCAGCTAGTAAAAATTCTAATTTCAAGAGGGGACTATTGGTGTGGCTTTTTTCAGAAACCTAAGGGAAGGGGGTCAAGACCTCCCTGACACCCCACACTCTAAATCTGAAACTTATAGGCCAGTTATGTGATGACATTCATTCAAAAGTCTTACTTTTTACAGGCCCGTAGCCAGCAATTTCAAAAGGGGGGGTTCTTTTTCTGAAAAAGTGGACCTTTTACCATATAATCCCCATGTACCTAGGTCAAATTTTACTCAGAGTGGACCTTTTTCTAGCAAAAAGGGGGGTTCTTTCGAACCCCCCGACCCCCCTAGCTACGGGCCTGTTTTACCAGATGAGGTTTTAGGCCTTGCAAGCTAATGGCGAATCTAGCTTCCAACGCAGTCGCATCTGTTTGGTTCGCTATCAGGAGCGTTTTCAAAAGACATGAAACTCAGGTCGTGGAACCCGCATTGGTAAATTCGGCCTTTTCCATCCCCCACCACAAACTCCCAACCCTTGTTCCCCATGAACTGCGGTTTTAGCTAGTTCCAAAAGTTGCATCTAATGAGCGCAGACTCTACTTCAATGTCAAACCGCTGCGTGCAGCGAACTCTGTAAATATCGAGCCGACTTTCTTTTCAACACCTGTCTGCAACTTTTAAGTCTATCTAAGGTCTATAAGGTCTCCTTTCCCTTTTAAGCACAAAAGGGCATTTGTACGTGTTACAATAACTTTTTTAAATAAAACATTACTTTGTAAACAGTCTATTTACTATCTTTGTAATAGACCCACTCAGGGGCAGATCCAGGATTATTTGAAGGGGGGGGGGGGGGCGCTGTTACGAAGCCGAACCCCCCCCCCCCCCCCCCCCCCCCCCCCCGGGGCTCCTTTTGTGTG